CGGAGCTCCCTATGGTGCCACGAAACGTGTGAGGGGTGTGCCGAATTTCGTGTGGGTGACGCATGCGGGCGGCAGCACTGGGGCCTTCGGCGGAGCTTCTACTATGGGGCCAAAACGTGTGAGGGGTGTGCCGAAGTGGGTGTGGGTGACGCATGCAGGCGGCAGCACTGGGGCCTTCGGCGGAGCTCCTATGGGGCCACGAAACGTGTGAGGGGTGTGCCGAATTGGATGTGGGTGACGCATGCGGGCGGCAGTACTGGGGCCTTCGGTGGAGTTCCCTATGGAGCCACGAAACGTGTGAGGGGTGTGCCGAAATGGGGTGGGTGACGCATGCGGGCGCGGGCACTGGGGCCTTCGGTGGAGCTCCCTATGGAGCCACGAACGTGTGAGGGGTGTTCGCCGAAATGGGTGCTGGGTGTGGGTGAACGCATGCGGGGCGCGGGCACTGGGGCCTTCGGCGAGTTCCTATGGAGCCACGAAAAACGTCTGTGAGGGGTTGCCGAAGTGGGTTGTGGGAGACGCAGCGGGCGCGGGCACTGGGGCTTCGGTGGAGATCCCTATGGAACCACGAAACGTGTGAGGGGTTATCTTTTTTGTGCAGACGCTGGGTGTGGTGACGCAGCGGCGCAGGGCTCTGGGGCCTTCGGTGGAGCTCCCTATGGGGCCACGAAACGTGTGAGGGGTGTGCCGAAATGGGTGTGGGTGACGCATGCGGGCGCGGGCACTGGGGCTTTCGGTGGAGCTCCCTATGGAGCCACGAAACGTGTGAGGGGTGTGCCGAAATGGGTGTGGGTGACGCATGCGGGCGCGGGCACTGGGGCCTTCGGTGGAGCTCCCTATGGAGCCCCGAAACGTGTGAGGGGTGTGCCGAAATGGGTGTGGGTGACGCATGCGGGCGCGGGCACTGGGGCCTTCGGTGGAGCTCCCTATGGAGCCACGAAGCGGTGTACTGGGTGGGTGAAGAGGAGAGGAGGAGAGGAGAGGAGGCGGAGGAGGAGAGGAGGAGGAAGGAGACGCGGGGCACCGTCTCTTCAAAACGAGGACCCAACACCACAGGATGGTTGGGAAAAACCATGACGGGAGGTTTTTCGCCATTTTCGGCCTCCGGGGGCCCTCACCGGGCCTCGGGAGCGTCAAAAAACGACTCAGGATGACAAGCTGGTCCTGGGGAAGGGGTCGAGACCTCGGGGGGTCGACGTAATGAAAAATTCATTACGTCGGGGGTCTGGGCTGGAAGACGGAGGAGGCGCCCTGCGCGGGCCCATGGCGTTCGCCTCCACGGCTGCCGCCCGTCCGCCAAGCTTTGGCAAGGGACGCCCCGAGCCCGCCAAGGGGAGGGCTCGGGGGGTCGTCGCCGAGCCCGCCGGCCTATGCGAAGGGAGGCCCACCCAAGGCGACTCGGAGGCCCAGGGCTGGCCCCGGGAAGCCCGCGAGCGTCAGCCCCGGGACGCGGGCTGCATCTTCCACCGGGGAAGGGAGAGCTCTTCATTCAGAGCCCGCCCACGGACGGAGCGAGCGACGGAGGCCAGATCGAGGGACAGCCGACGCCCAGGGGAGGGGTGGCCCATGGGAGGGTCCGATCCTCAGGAACCCCAGGCGCCGCGGTTCGGAGGGCTCGCGGATATTGCCCTATGGCTCCAGGGAGGCCCTCCAGGGAGGCCCCATCGGGCAACCAGACGGTCCACGGCGCCGCCCCCGCCCCTCCTGGCCCGACGAAGGGAAGCCCAGACCCCGTGGAGCCGCCCTGGGCATGGCAGGGCAAATGGGCGGATCTCTCCGCCTGGCTCGACGTGGCAAGCCCTGACAGCCCTCCCCCCCCAGGGACGGAGGCCCCGGAGGAGGAGAGTTGGCGGAAAAGTAGTCGGTTCGCCGGTCCACGGCGGGAGGTGGTCCTCGAGGTACGTTGCGCACGGGGCCAGAGCACCGCGGCCTGGCTCATATGGCTCACCCTCGGGCAGTTGGACGAGGCCCTGACCTTTCTCACGGGCGCCCGGTGTGGGGAGTTTCATATGGGGGGGTACAGATGCTTCACGGTTTGCACCTCCATCGCGCGCGTTGCCTTCCTCCTCGCCGCGGCCGACTGGGGGGCGCGACCCGTCTACTGGATCTCCCGCTGGCTCGGCTGGTCCCCCTTCTTCCGAGTGGCGCGCGCGGAGGACATCTGGCTCTGCCACTGGGAGCTGGACTGGCGCGGCCGGGCGCCGGGCCCGTGGACGATTTCTTCAAGGGCACCATCTGGGGAAGAAGTGACCAGCCCCCACGTCTCCCAAATCACTCGGCGGCTGGGGCAGGAGGGAAAGGGCCCGGCTGGACCAGGGCCTCCACGGGGACCCCATCAGGAAGGATAGGCGCCGCGGCTAGGACTTCCCCCACTCAAAGGTGCACGCGTGCACCGACCCCCAGCTGCGGAACGCCCTCGAGCGGGCCCCAGTCAAGGTGGCGCACCTCTGCTGGGAGGGGGGTGTCTGCGGGAGCTGGGAGCTGGGAGATGTTCGCGATGCACTCCCGCAAGTACACGGGAGCGGGCGCCAAGGCCGTCTTCGACCTCGACGAGGACGGGGAGGTTGGGGGCCCCATCAAGGCAGGGCTGAAGTCCGCCGCCCAGTCCGCGAAGGCCTACCTCACCGCCTGGGTGTACCATTTCCTTGGATGTGGGACGCTGGTGCCTCCGCCGCCGCAGCCAGCGCAGGGCCGAGCCCCCTCTTCAGCCTCCCCTTCGGGGGCGGCCCCCCAGCCCGAGGAGGAGGGGCGGGGGCCAATGCGTCGCGGGGGCGGTCGCCTGGGCGGACGCCCAGGGGCGCCTTTGCTGCCTCCAACGCCGAGGGCCGCGCGCCGATCGGAGGGCGGCGGACCCCGCCCCACTGCTCGCGGCAGACGGGCTGACCTCCGACAGCCGGGGGTGGCCGCGGAACGCCGGAAGGGCCCCTTGGCCGCCTCCTCCTCCTCCCCCTCCTCGCTCCTCCTCCTCCTCCTCCTCCTCCTCCTCCTCCTCCTCATCCTCCTCATCCTCCTCATCCTCCTCCTCCTCGCTCCTCGCTCCTAGCTCCTCGCTTCTCGCTCCTCGCTTCTCGCTCCTCCCTCCTCCTCCTCCTCCTCCTCCTCCTCCTCTGATGCCGCTACCACAGCTCGGAGTACAAGGGGGGCCGCCGCCGCTTCCGCGGTGCAGAGCCAGGATGCTGGCACTTGGGGGGGGCGGGCCATGCGGTGCGAGGCGTTGCTTCCGACACCGGCGCCGGGCCGGGAGAAGGTCGCGCCGGCGGCCGGCCCCCCCCCTCCGCGGTGCAGGATGGGCAGGGGGGCAGGCCCGCACCCACGGAGGAGGAGGAAGGGGCAGGGTGCTGGGGCGGCTGCGAGGTCCCTCACGCGAGGCCTCCTTCCCCCACAGCCCCGGGTGGCCCGCTAGCTTGGGCTGCCTTAAGTCCCGCACCCGTCGAAGTCGAGCCCCCCGAGAGGGACCCACTCCGTCGGCCCCGCCAGGCATGGAGGACGGGAGGCCCGCAGGGTCCCCCCGTGATTGGGCCCCCATGCCCCGCGTTGCAGCCCCCGGCGCGCGCGGACGACACGGACGGGAAGGCTCTACCACGTGACGGCCTACGACGCGGGCTCGGATGCGGGAGGCATTCGGCAGTGCACCAGCGTCCGGGGGAAGGGCAGGCCCCCAGACCCCCGACGTAATGATTTTTTCATTACGTCGACCCCCAGAGTTCTCGACCCCTTCCCCAGGACCGGCTTGTCATCCTGAGTCGTTTTTGTTGACGCTCCCGAGGCCCGGTGAGGGCCCCCGGAGGCCGAAAATGGCGAAAAACCCCCCGTCATGATTTTTTCATTACTCGAGGGGGTCTGGGGGGGAGGCGTTCCAGTCCCCGGGGGAGCTCAGGGAGCGGGCGGACGTTCGGCCCCCCGGGGGTGGAGGTCCGCCTGGCCATCCCGCTGGGTGCGTGGGGCCCCCGGGCCCCGCTGCGGAGCGCCGGCTCGCCCCAGTGCGCGCCGCCTTTCGATGCGAAGGAAGTCGGGGCCCAGGCGCATCGCGACTTGGTACCCCCTCGCGTCATGAAAAAACCACGACATGAGGTTTCTCTCTATTTTCGGCCTCTGGGGGCCCTTACCGGGCCTCGGGGCCGTCAAAAAACGACTCAGGATGAAGAGCCGGTCCCGGGGAATGGGTCCAGAGTTCTGGGGGTCGCGTCATGAAAAAATCATGACGTCGGGGGTCTGGGTAGGCGGCACGCGCCAAGGCGGGGGGCTTCTGGACATGCGGGGACTCCTCTGGCTATCGGAAAGGTTCTCCCGGGGGGTGCCACCCACACCCCGTCGCTCGGGTTCGGGGGGACGTCCCGCCCGAAACAGAGGAGCAGGACAGGGGCCCTGCCAAGCCTGCCCTGGACCAGTGGGCTCTCTACTCCCCGCCCTCCACTCGGGAGGGGCTGCTCCGCTTGGTTTTATGGTGGGGCCCGTCCGAAGGTCCATAAGTAAACGCTTGGTGGCGCAGCCGCAGACCGAAATGGATATGGTTAGATGATATAGTCAACCTCGCTAAGCTTTCAATTGGAACGTTCGGCGAATCTGGCCTGGCATTGCAACAGGAAACGACAACCTCACTCGACGCGCTGCACGTATTCCTCAGGATGGCCAGCACAGGCGCATGGCGCAGCTTGGAAGACGGGGTTTACCGAATAGTACATATAGTGTTTATAAGTGGGGACGGCGGCCACAACAGATCGACTGACCACGCCGTGGAGGCGATACCCCGAGCACTACCGCTCACCGAGTCCTTCTGGCTACCATCCGCACGACTCCCAAAAACCATGTCTTATCCGATTTCCCATCATCCGATTCCAGCTTCCGCCTTTGCGATTCCAATTCCCATATCTGTGTCTCCGACGCAGGCTCCCATTTTCCGACTTCGGCTCCCTTCTGGCTCCCATTTCTCGATTCTGGTCCCCTTTTGTGCATTTCCCCGACTTTGGCTCCCATTTTCTAATTCTGGCTCCCGTGTGCACCTCTCCGATTCCCGCTGTTTACCACACGACTCGGCATCCATCGCTCCGACCCATGCTCTCCACCACATGACTCTAGCAGCCCCGTCTTCTCCGACTTTGACTCCCATTGTTTGATTTCGGTACCTTTTTCGCCGACTCCAGCTCCGATTTCTCGATTCCAGTTCCCTGCGTGCATTTCTCCGACTCCCGCTCCTCACCACGCGATTTTGGCATCCATCCGACCCGGCCCCCAACCACACGAGTCCAGCAGCTTCGTCCTCGCTCATTGTGGTTCCCAATTCCAGCTCTGTCCAATGTCGCGACATCGTCATACGAGCGGCCAGCCGGCGACTACACATGTCATAGTTAAATTCGTCACGCATGCTGTCGCGTTCCATTGTCGTTTCATTATGTGCTGACGTTGTCTCACTGTTGTTTGCAGTTGATGGGCGTTTCGGCCCCACCCTCCGGCACCCACGCGGTGGATGAAGTAGGCCGACGTCCGATGCCCGATGTCCCTAAAGTTTTCTCGAGGCGATCTGAAGCCAGAGAGCCTCGGAAGCAAACAGTATTGAAGCTTCTGGTGCGCTTCAATGTCATTCGCTTCTTTGAGCGTTTCTCGGACCCTTGTCAATGCGTCTTCGTCCGTCGTGAGAGACTCTTGGGTCGTTTTGTGGACATTTCGGAGCCATCTCGGTTCCTAGTGGGTGATCTTGAAACCATTTTGGAGCCTTCTGGGGCCATATGGAGCCCAGTGGAGGTCAGGGGAAGTCCAAGAAACCTTGGACATTTGGTGGAATTGTGCTGGTCCCCCATGTAGCACACAATTTGGAGCCCAGCGGGGGTGTTACATGGAGGGAGAATATCAGCGCTTTCATGGTTACAGTAGTGCGCCCGCTACAGGAGGCCGAGCAGAAGGGAGGCGCCGTTCGCAGACTGCGGGCTGGTGGTCTGTCCGCGGCCGTTCAGGACAGAGGGAGCCAGGGAAGGAGGGGGTAAGGGAAACAGGGGTGAGAAGAAAAGAGGTGACCTAGGAGTGACGTTTTGGTAGCGTGTCACCCTCGAATGAACTACTTGTACGCGGGGTGTCTCGCTTAGCGGTTAGCACAGCTTGCACGTTATTGTGAAATCGTGTTGCTTAATTATGGGGATTCCTTCTCACAGCAGCCATCGACGATACATGAAGACCCCGGAGAAGGCTCGAAGAGGCCCCGAAAAGACCCAAAGAAGACCCAAAGAGGCCCCCGAAGGCCCCAAGAGGATCCAAAGATGGCCAGGAAAGGGAGAAGAGTCTTCCAGGCCTGGTGCCATCCTAGAGGTAATGTTGTCCCGCTCTAGAAGTATACAGAGTGTCTAGAGCAAGTCTGGGATGTGTTGGCGAACGTGAGGAGGCGTAGGCGATGATATATGAGGATGCGGATGACGATTTCGAAGACGCAGTTGAGGAAAGGAAATGCGGCCAGGAGCTCGCCACGACTGTGACCGTGGACCAGAGGCGGCGGATTCGTTTCCCCATCCGTCCCAGTCTTTCCTTTTCGTCTTCCTGCGTATAGTCCTTCTGCTTCTCCTCCTCCTCCTCCTCCTCGTCCTCGTCCGCCGCCCACTCCTCGTCCACCTCCCAGCCCAACTCCTCCAGCTCCTGCTCATACTTCTGCTTCTGTTGCTGCTCCCTCTCAGCCGAATCCTTCTCCCACATTGCTTTTTACTAGTAGATTAGGCCACCTGACTGGCCGATGGCGACCGGATCCAGGGGGTCGCGGCTTGCCTGTTCAAAAACCACACGGGGTCGCCGTCTTCCCTTTTCGGCATGGGGCGTTGGCGTCGGCGTCGCAAGATGCGTGGCAGGAGTGGGGACGGGGCGCACACCGTGCGCGAAAGGGTGGCCTGTCGATCTCGCCCAGGCGCCGCGGTCACGAACCCTCAGAACTGAGCTCCCGCCCGGGCGCTTCGCGAGCGGGCGAGAGCGTCGCTCTGGTCTCGGCGCGGCGCAGGTCTCGCCCGAAGGGCGCTCCCGCCGCAGTGCGGCGCACATTTGTCACTCGCCATGTCGTTTGGGGCGGGGCCGCGCGCGAACGGGCGACTCCTCGCCCGCGCGGAAGCGCTGTGCAGAGTTCGCCTGGGAGTGGCGTTCCCCGTGGGGGCGGCGCACGTTTCGCTCGCCGAAGCGATGAACTCGGCACCGGCAGATGGGCCGAGCGAGAGCGGTCGAAATGTTGCCCTCGCGCAGGCGCCGCGCAATTAGTGTGCGTGCGTGCGTGTGCGTGCGTGCGTGCGTGCGTGCGTGTGCGTGTGCGTGTGCGTGTGCGTGCGTGCGTGTGCGTGCGTGCGTGCGTGCATGCGTGCGTGTGCGTGCGTGCGTGCGTGTGCGTGCGTGCGTGCGTGCGTGCGTGCGTGTGCGTGCGTGCGTGCGTGCGTGCGTGTGCGGTTGCGTGTGCGTGTGCGTGTGCGTGTGCGTGTGCGTGTGGGTCAAGCTAGCCAGCTCGAGCGAGTCAAGCATGGCATGCCCATTCCCACCCGCCCTCCCACAACATAAGAAACAGTGATGGCACAACTGGGGGCTGCGCGGGCATTTCAGTGCAAATGGAGAATACCCCAGGACACCGCATTGACGTCCGCGCGGGATGTGCGCCGCGTCCCATTCCCGTCGTCGACGACAAGACTGGCCATGTTGAAAGGAACACCGGACACGTTCCGCCCTCCCAGAACATAAGAAACAATGCTGGCGCAACTGGGTGCTGGCGCGTAGTGGCAGTAGTAGTAGCCGTAGTAGTAGTAGTAGTAGTAGTAGTAGTAGTAGTAGTAGTAGTAGTAGTAGTAGTAGTAGTAGTAGTAGTAGTAGTAGTAGTAGTAGTAGTAGTAGTAGTAGTAGTAGTAGTAGTTAGTAGTAGTTAGTAGTAGTAGTAGTAGTAGTAGTAGTAGTAGTAGTAGTAGTAGTAGTAGTAGTAGTAGTAGTAGTAGTAGTAGTAGTAGTAGTAGTAGTAGTAGTAGTAGTAGTAGTAGTAGTAGTAGTAGTAGTAGTAGTAGTAGTCAGTAGTAGTAGTCAGAAGTAGTAGTAGTAGTAGTAGTAGTAGTAGTAGTAGTAGTAGTAGTAGTAGTAGTAGTAGTAGTAGTAGTAGTAGTAGTAGTAGTAGTAGTAGTAGTAGTAGTAGTAGTAGTAGTAGTAGTAGTAGTAGTAGTAAGTAGTAAGTAGTAAGTAGTAAGTAGTAAGTAGTAGTAGTAGTAGTAGTAGTAGTAGTAGTAGTAGTAGTAGTAGTAGTAGTAGTAGTAGTAGTAGTAGTAGTAGTAGTAGTAGTAGTAGTAGTAGTAGTAAGTAGTAAGTAGTAAGTAGTAGTAAGTAGTAGTAGTAGTAGTAGTAGTAGTAGTAGTAGTAGTAGTAGTAGTAGTAGTAGTAGTAGTAGTAGTAGTAGTAGTGGTGGTAGTGGTAGGAGTAGTAGTAGTAGTAGTAGTAGTAGTAGTAGTAGTAGTAGTAGTAGTAGTAGTAGTAGTAGTAGTTGTAGTTGTAGTCGTAGTAGTAGTCGCGGTAGTAGTAGTAGTCGTAGTAGTAGTAGTAGTAGTAGTAGTAGTAGTAGTAGTAGTAGTAGCCCTGAATCGCCAAAAGGTCGTTCCAGGACGCCCAAGATGGCCTCCAGACGGCCGTAGCGCCAAGAAACCGCGGGGAGCCTCAGGAGGCCCTCCAAGAGCCTGAACAAGCAAAAACTTCCCAGGCATTCGTCACCCCAGGGCCTCCTGGAACGCCCCGGCGCCCAGTGAATTGGCGAGCTAAAAACGTGCGCCGAGCCGAAGCGGGAGCGCAACTTAGAGAAAATGTCATTCGGCGCCCAAGCGGAAGGTCATTTCATTCACTTCGAGCGGGGGGGGAGGGGTGGGTGCAGCGCCCAATTCTTGCCATGTTTTTTTGCGGGGTGGACGACAAGAACAGCTATGTGGGCAGGGAAAATCAGCATGGCATTGCTTCTGACAAGTAAGGTGGCCCCTCCCGCCTTGGGGTTGCCCCAGAAGTCCGCGCGCGATGTGCGCCGCGACCCATTCCTGCCACGCATTTCGCATCGTCGACGACAAGACAGGCCATGATGAAAGGAAAAACGGCAACTCAGTATTGTTCCCCACATCCAAAGTGGGGTTCTTGTTTTCTCTGCACACCCCGCGCAGGAACACTCACCCCACCCCCTCTCCTCTTCTGCCCTCGCACTCATTCACACACACATCATCATCACTCGCACTCTCTCACACGCTCACGAACATCATCGTCATCATCGGTATCGGCATCATCCTCATTCAAACATCATCATCGCCACCACCACCCACAATCAATCATCATCCTCTTCACCACTCATCTTCACCACCACTCATCATCCTCATCCTCATCATCGTTGAGTAAAGTGTGAGGAAGTCTCAGGCGGGAGCCCCCTCCCTATGGGGCCCGCAGATCATGTTGGTAATCCGAGCGGGTCATCGGAACCCTGTAACTGTCGTCACTTTTGGGCTCCCCAGGCCTGAAAATGGAGGAAGTCTCAGGCGGGAGCCTCGTCTGTGAGTGAATTGGGAGGAAGTCTCAGGCGGGAGCTCCCTCCCTATGGGGCCCGCAGATTATGTTGGTAATCCGAGCGGGTCATCGGAACCCTGTAACTGTCGTCACTTTTGGGCTCCTCAAGCCTGAATATGGAGGAAGTCTCAGGCGGGAGCCTCGTCTGTGAGTGAATTCTGAGGAAGGCTCAAGCGGGAGCCCCCTCCCTATGGGGCCCGCAGATCATGTTGGTAATCCGAGCGGGTCATCGGAACCCTGTAACTGTCGTCACTTTTGGGCTCGTCAAGCCTGAATTTGGAGGAAGTCTCTGGCGGGAGCCTCGTCTTTGAGTGAATTGTGAAGAAGTCTCAGGCGGGAGCCCCCTCCCTATGGGGCCCGCAGATCATGTTGGTAATCCGAGCGGGTCATCGGAACCCTGTAACTGTCGTCACTTTTGGGCTCCTCAAGCCTGAATATGGAGGAAGTCTCTGGCGGGAGCCTCGTCTGTGAGTGAACTGCGAGGAAGTCTCAGGCGGGAGCCCCCTCCCTATGGGGCCCGCAGCCCGCAGATCATGTTGGTAATCCGAGCGGGTCATCGGAACCCTGTAACTGTCGTCACTTTTGGGCTCCTCAAGCCTGAATATGGAGGAAGTCTCAGGCGGGAGCCTCGTCTGTGAGTGAATTGCGAGGAAGTCTCAGGCGGGAGCCCCCTCCCTATGGGGCCCGCAGATCATGTTGGTAATCCGAGCGGGTCATCGGAACCCTGTAACTGTCGTCACTTTTGGGCTCCTCAAGCCTGAATATGGAGGAAGTCTCAGGCGGGAGCCTCGTCTGTGAGTGAACTGCGAGGAAGTCTCAGGCGGGAGCCCCCTCCCTATGGGGCCCGCAGATCATGTTGGTAATCCGAGCAGGTCATCCAAAACCTGTAACTGTCGTCAATGTTGGGTTCTCGCGCTGCCAGAACGCAGTTCCCAGGCCACACTTTGGATGCAACAAGGAAGTTTTTGGGCTCCTCAGGTCGCCGAGGTGCTGCGACAGGGCGCCGAAGGCGCCGACGACGACGGCCAGGCCGAGGCGCGGGCGCGGAGCTTGCTGATGTTCAGGCCCAGCGAAAGGGAGTTCACATGGCAGAGCTCGGGGGCGCACAGCGTGCGCCGCTCGGGGTTCACCCTGACGCACGCGTCCTACCTGACCTCCACGCTGTCGCAGGGCCAGACGCTGCGCAAGGGCGTCACCATCGACTGCGCGAGAGACGAGGACGCTGGCCGCACGGGCATGTCGGACGAGCAGTGGTGGCTGCACCTCTACGTCATGTTCTCCCGCGCCACGTGCATGCGGAACATGCTGATCCTGCGGCCGCCGCCGCGAGAGTTCCTGGAGTGCGGGCCGCCGGCGTCCCTGCGGAAGGCGCTCCTGGAGTTCGACAAGAGAACGGTTTTGTCCAGGGCGGAGGCGAAGCAGCTCGCGGCAGAGCTGGGCTTCGTGCTGCCTTCCGCCTGAGCGCGGCTGCGCCTCGCTCGAAGCCCGCGGGGTTGTCCCAACGGCTTGGTCTTGCGCGCCAACGGCTCGCGGGGTTGTCCCGACAGCCTGGCCCGCGGGGTTGTCCCAACGGCTGCGCGACGTGACCAGTAGAGAACGCGCCTGTGCTGGCCGTGGCGGCGACGGCGCCGAGGAACATCGACATGCGCGCTCATGCAACAGGAAGGGGAGGAGGTGGCGGGGCGCGGAACAAACAGGGGGGCGAGGATGGGGACAACGTAAGGAGTGGAAGGGGGGCCCGCGCCAAGGCGAGAGGAAATATACGCAGAAGAGACAGCCAGGACGCCTCACCAACCACGAGGACGACGGTGATGGCTTTTTCCAGATTCGCCCAGAGGATTCTTATGTGGGGTTCTTCCGTCGGAGTAATTTTTTACAGTCAGGATGGGAGGGCCCGCAGCCCGCATGGACGTCCGCGCGCGATGCGCGCCGCGTCCCATTGCTGCCACATA